CATCCTAGCGGGGTTTGGTTGTTTTCTTCCTCTCCCCTGTTGGTTTTGCTCTCCCCCCCCTCTTTTTTTTGTGGGGGGGAGGGGGGGGGGGGGAGTTTTGTCCTGTGGATCCAGGAGGTTGTGAATGCCTCTTGTGTGAGGACTTGATGCCTTCCACTCTGAAGGAAGTGTTGGTTTGTCTCTTCTTGAAGAGACCCTCTCTGGATCTATAGGTTTTGGATAATTACCACCTGGTCTCCAACCTTCCCTTTTTGTTAAAGGTTGTGGAGACAGTGGTTTCGGGACCAACTATGGGGCACCCTAGAGGAAATGGATTACCTAGCCCCTTATCAGTCAGGGTTCAGGCCTGGGTAAGGGACAGAGACAGCATGGGTAACTTTTGCTGATGACCTATGTCAGGATAGAGGTATATCCAGGTACCTGGATAGAGGTAGTGTGTCTGTCCTGGTATCTTGCTGGACCAGTTAGGGGGGTTTGGGGACTGGGAGCACTGTTTTTCAGTGGCCAGTTCCAGTCAGTGGTGATCAGGGAAGAGAGATCAGCACCTTGGCTGTTCCCTTGTGAGGTGCTGTAGGGTGGTCAGTTCTCTCCCGTTATTTAACATCTATATGAAGCTGCTGGGGGAGATCATCTGGCAGTTTGGGGTCTGGTATCACCAGTATGCTGACAACATCCACTTGTATATTATGATCCCAGGCCCCACTGGAAATTTTGACATCTTATCCTAGTGCTTGGAAGCTGTTAGGATCTGGATGGGAAAGCACAGGCTTGAACTGAACCCTAGTAAGATGGAGCTACTGTTTGTACATTGGTTTCTCCCATGCCCCCTTGTCTCTGGATGGAGTTGCACTGCCCCTGAAGAAGGTGGTCTGTGGCATGGGTGTCCTTCTGGACTCTCAGCTGCTGTTTGATCAGCAAGTGAAAGTTGTGGCCAGAGGGACTTTTGTCCAGCTGCAGCTGCTATGCCAGTTGTGACCTTACTTGAGATGGGAGAACTTGAATACAGTGGCTCATGCTCTCATCACCACATGCATAGACTACTACAGTGCGCTCTATGCATGTAAAATGTTAAGGAAGGTGTTCTTGATGGAAATAGACAAAAGGGGCTGAAATTTTTTAAAGTTCAGAACAGCCAGGTAACATTTGGAAGTGGCTCAGGGAGACGACTTCTTAATTCACTGAAGTATAAGGAAGAAGAGGAGGTACAACACAGTCAGACTTGCAAGATTCTATAATTATAGCCAATCTCATTAAAATTAGTTGTAGCTTTCTATGGAGTTGATTTTCTGGTCTGGTCTAACTAGTGCGGCTGAAGACATGGGGCTGCCTCTAGAATCACCTAGAACCTTCGGTTTGTGCACAGTGCAGCGGCCTGGGTGCTCATAGGTGCTTGCTGGTGGGCACATATTACACTCATTTTTCAGGCCCTGTACTGGCTTCCTATCAGCTTCCGAGTGCAATTTGATTTTAATCTATAAAGCCCTTTATGGCTTTGCATTCCATTACCTTCAGTGGAAGTATCTCTCCACTGGAATCGGCCTGACCACTGCAATCATACTGGGAGAAGCCCCCATTTTGGGAAGGTCAGGGAGACTGAGGCCCAGATGTGTTGTTTCTTAATCAATGGCCCAGCCCTTGGGAATGGCCTCCCACAAGAAGTGTATTTGGCCCCAACTCTGGTCACCACCTGGAAGCTTCTTCCAAATGCCTTTTAGAGTTTAGGTTTGCCTATTCTGTTTTATTTTATAAGATTGTCATTGTTACTGTTTTTAAGTTTTGAGCCATTGAGAGTTTATGTACAATCGTAATGGGATATAAATGTGATAAATAAATAAATGCATTGATTAATTAATCTTGGCATCTTCCTTTACCAATTTTGAACTGTTTAGTTGCTCTGTACTTCAGTAACCATTTGCTTCCTGGTCATCAGATAAATTATTCAACAGGCAGATGAGGTGGCCTGGTATATGTTTTAGGGCTAACTATAGGTTGTGGTGAACATAGTAGAAAGCATTTGTATAATCAATAAAGTAAACATAGTCATTTTTTGGGAATTTGCTTGCCATTTCCATTATTCCTGGGATGCGTAACATTAGGGTTGTGCAAAGCATTTCTGGTGTGAAATCTAAAATACATACATGCACCTGTATGTAGAGACATCAGGGAGCAACTTCCAAAGCAGCTGCATGAGCTTTGCAAAAGATATGGCTGCTTTAAGTATTCAAAGAGAGGAGCTTTATTTGCACTCTGCCTGTAAAGCACCTCTTTCTAATGCTTTGCACGGTCATAATAGCTTTATCTGGCTCAGCATGTGTCTACCTCTTGCTGATAGGTGTAGATAACTTGCTGAACCCCATTCCTGATGAGGATCAGGGATTGTAATTACTTGCCATGGATAAGGAGTTTTAGGTAAGTGAGTTATAAGCCAGCATTAAGTCCCTGCCCTTTGTACACTGCCTAGTGTTGCACATGTGCTACACTGATAATAACTATATAACAAAATCAGCACAGAGAATCATTTGTGGGACTTAGCTTGTGAGGCACAACAATACAATCTTGGTTCGTGCACTAAGATCTGTAGGGTACAGTCAACAACATTCAGAGCTGAGGCTATCTCTGAAGATTATTGTGAAAGGAAAGGGCAATTAACCTATGTAAGATGTCCCGAGCATCTCAGAGAATGAGCAGGATAAAATGTGACAGATATGGAAAATTTATATACTGCTCTAATACACAGTAGACTAAAGTATTCCTGAATCTTTCTGTAAAGCAATCTAAATAAGATTAAGATGAGGACAAGAAATACATTGCACTATTGTGATTGGTCCTGAGTTTTTCCACTCAAATCTCTTTAACCTTGAATTCAGTTAAGATCTCCATGTCATATGACACCAGTAAGATTTTACTAAAATTGATGATGATGATACCACTAGAAGATACACATTCTAGAATCCAGGAACAACACAAATGGACAAAGTTAGTTTTGGAATAAATTCAGGCCATTTATTAAAAAAAAAACTATTTCTATTTTTCATTGGAGATAAATGTATTTCACCTTCATTTGACAATGCAGTATTCTTGCTAGCTTTTTCATCTTCTAGGAGCCAAGAATGTTTCTGCTGGATTACTTTTAATGTTAGCTGTTAAACTGACCGACCTAAGCATATGTTTGCAAGAGCTTACAGGCTGCCTGTGCACATCACACCCCGAGAGTGCCTGTGGCAGCTCTGAACTTTTTGAACAGCCTTGACTGAATGGCTGTATTTCTCTTTAAGGATGTCACTTCGACAACTGCCATCACTGTGAAGCATTTCGTTCTTTCTAGAGAGGCAATCCACAGGCACATCCCGCTCCACCCTGGCAAGAATTATTATTATTTTACAATGTCTCTGTTGTTCTTTGTAATTAGCACTTCTCCTAGGCACAATTTCAAGCCAGACTATTTGGCATTTCCTTATATTGCATTTTTGATGTTGTTATTTAAAAATCAGTAATTACTACAATCTTGGTCATGCTTCCTTTCATCCACTTTGGGTTGAGACATAAGGTACTTAACA